AGCGTACCTGTCTGCCCGTGTCTGTGTGTATGAGTTTACTGTTTGCTCGTTTGGGTGAATAGGAGTGCACGCGTACGTATGGCGTGGATTGGTTGTAAAGGGATGCGTATGTGGGGGGATGTGTGTGTGTGTGTGTGTGTGTTGTGTGTGTGTGTGTGGTGTGTGTGTGTCTGGTGTGTGTGTGTGAGGTGTGTGTGTGGTGTGTGTGTGTGTGTGTGTGTGTGTGTGTGTGTGTGTGTGTGGTTGGCGCGCGCGTGTGTGTGTGTGTGCGAGCGCGCGCGCCGCGCGTGTGTGTGTGTGTGTGTGTTTAATTGCTAGTGCCGCGGTGATTATCAGGAAGCGCATAGGTGGAGGAAGGAGAGAGGGAGGAGGCTAGCTAGATAACGATAGCAAGCGTTAGGGTGAGCGAGAAAAGAGGTGTGTAAAAGATAATAGTTTTGTCCCTATATTTTGTATGCGTGCGAGGAGACAATGCTTCCGAGGGTTTAGATGCTAGCCAAAAGTACTTTCCCACAGGGCTTAAAAATTTCCAACAAGCTGTAACCGTCTATCAGAGAAGAAGGTTCGATTAATTACGTCTAACGTACACTGCAAGCGTTTGTCGCAAGAGAACAAAAATATTTGCTTTTCAACGAAAATCGGTGCGCGGCGGGGAAGCGAAACACAAACCATTTTGTCTGCAAACAGTTGTTGCGATCGAACGCGATAAATTTATAAATCACATATAAATGTTTTGTCTCAACGTCAGAACGTCGGCCGTATGCGTTAGGACGCACAAATTATAGATAGTTTCGCCTCACTCAACTGATCAATCAGCGTTCACTTGGTGATTACGTGACATTTAAAATTTCGCGCTACCTGTGGAACTGGCGTCGCAGATGCCGACTAAATAATACAAATATCAGCTGCGATGATCAAAAACAAAAGCAAAGACAGACGTTCTATTACAACAAAAATCTGCTATGTGTCTCAGATAATAATGCGTGAAGTGCTAGAGGTAAATAATTCATGTCAAAATGCATTCGAAATGCTACTGTCCGTGTGAATGAACATACGATACATTGAAAACTCGTCTGTCTAAAAGTCCGCGTGTATGCAAAGGCTCGAATCTGATGCACCTTTATGGAGTCATTGTAGTAACAAACTATTTCTAGTATCAATTAATTCATTGCTTTGTACTATATCGTCGTGATCAAAATCGCCTCATATTGAATATAAATTTTTAATATTTTTAAATGGTTGTATATATATTTTTAAGTGCATTTAGTTTGCTTGATGGTTGTTTGTGCATTTTCATTAGGTCAATTGTCCAGGGAGATATTCTGATGATAAATATCCTATCAGACATATAAGATTAATATTAATAATGATGATGATGACATTTGATAATAAGAACAAGATTATTATTATTAATATTAATAAATGTTTAGACTTCGATAATTGGCTGGCGCGGACTTGTGAAATATATTTATCACCGAAAAACTAATGTACTTGTTGATATCATGCCCTATACGGAAAAATCCATCACCACATGATCACCAAATGATCACCAATGATTCCAATGATTCCAAATTTCCCTGGTAATATTTATTGAGAATATAATACCCATGGCCATTACAATGAAGTAGCTTTGCTACCCGCAGTGATTATTTTACTTGAAAACCTGCTAAAAGTTATTAGAGTTGATTTGAGGGCAATAATTTTTGGAAGCTGCGAAGATTGATATAAATGAAATATAGCTAGCACGATCCACGAGGGAACAGGTGTGGTAACAGCAAATCCAATCATCTCAGCAGATAGAATGGTTACCCGTGAGCAAAAAACCCGGTAACAAAAAACACACGTTTGTCACGGCGGGCGTGGATCGATAATCAATTCGAGACGTAAGAAATCGAACGTGCGAAACGAGCTGGAATTGGCATGTGGGCACCTCTCCCCCGTATACGGCGCTCTGCGCATACAACAGAAATTACGCTAAATTTTGCACGTAGAGGCTGCGTGGCCCAAAAGTCTGAAATGTACGGCAAACACGCGAAAATCTCGAACGCCCATGCATGCCAAAGAAACTCCGTGCAGTTTCTCTCCGTAACAGGGGCGGCACTCGCGCGTGCCGCTCATAAATGCCATCGCCTATTTATTATTAAATTTCGCGTTAGTTACTTGAACTGAATACTGTACTATACCGTGTGTGAACGTCAGCCGGCACAACGAACATCATTATTACGCATTTCTTGCCGGTTAGTGTACTTGCAAATGATGTTGACAAAGAAAACGATGTTATGCGCGATGATTGCGTCTCGTTGAACCTCATATTGTAAAAATTTGAAGAAGTTTCTTCGTGGGCGGTTATCGATGATTTAAATTACGAAATTTATTAAACATCCACTCGTGTTTTTTTTATTGCCTGCGCAATTTCTTCCCTTTCTCCCTCCCTCTCTCACCCCGTCTCTATATCTATCTCTCGCTTCTCCCTCTCTTTCACTGTCTTACACACTCACTATTTTATCTATCTGTCTATTTATCTCTCTTTTTCTCGTCCCATCTCTCACTCTATCGCGTTCTTTCTCTCTGTCGATCTCTCTCTCTCTCTTTCTCGCTCGCTCTCTTCTCTCTCTCTCTCTCTCTCTCTCTCTCTGTCGCTTCTCCTCTCATTCTCCCCTTCCTTCTTTCTTTCTCTTTTTGCAGTGCGGTCATTGTCTCTCCTTACCTTTAATGCACTCACACGCACATTCACACGCACCTGCTTTCTTTGTAGCTTTATATTTTTCTGCGGAGCTGACAGGTTCCCAGTGACTAGCCTACCCTATACACGGCGCGAGGAAAACGTCGACGGTAAATGCAGCAATTTTCAAGTGAAAATTGACGCACGTGCGGCGGGGACTATATAGCGAGTCATCGTCAATACCATCGCTTTCTCGTTCGCGCGTTACGTCGCGTATTTTCGCAGGTCAGCCCAGTGTTTGAAATTCGCGACGTTTGCGGACAAGATGGATTTGCTGTCGTTACGTTCTGGTTAGGCGCTAAGGCGTCAGCGTCCCCCGTCTCACTCTCTAGCGCCTAATCGATCGTACGTGTATGCTGAGATCAATCGTCGACAATACTGTTTGATTACGGTCGTTAAGGCAGTGCAGAACGTTTGGTTGCTGTGACTTTAGCAGCATTTCCGTTACTATTACGCAGCCGAGAAATTATGAATGAAGTTAAACGTTTTTGCGTTAGACTGTTTGCACGTGACTTATGGCCGGATAATGGCGAAAACAAGTGCTTATGCTTACTCGGAGTTATTATTTTTTTGCTTTCTCTGATCGACAACCTTAATGCCACTTTATATGTTGGCACACATGAATACCCACTACAATTTTTATTACTGCACGTGGAAAGCTGCCGTGCGTAAATAATTTGTTGAAAATATATGGCACCAGCTGTTTGCATATGAAGTCATAACTCGCCGAAAGTATTTATTAATTAGCAGCAAAGGGAAAGGGTCGAATGCCACATAGGACTATATGTGATAAAAAGGTGTCAGCAAGATCGCCACTCGTGTTCGTGTGCCCGCGCATGAATTCTGCCGCCCATAGTCGGAATCTAATATTTAACACTTTCATCACGAGGAAATTTCTTCACCCGCTATTTGACGTCATTTTCCGCTGCTATTTTGCGTCCTATGCTGTCTTTTACGACTGGTTTACATGCGATCAGATGCCGAAGCGACATGTTTATGATTACGAGATAATTCCCTTAGGCATTCCGGGATATTGTTAGTTTTACAGAAAGCCTGACAATGTTTTCACGCGAATATTGCATAGGAAGGGTAATTACACGGACAAGTAGATGAATTCTGCGAGCATCCTCTATAAACGCTCGTCGATTATTACTCGCACGCATCTGCATCTCTCAGCGATTCGGAAACCTTGATTCTTCTTTGTGTTTATGACGTTACGATAGGAATTAAACGACAAGTGAACATATGGCGATGTCGGTGACCTGCGTCAATGTATAGTTGACATAATTTCAATATTCTCTATAGAGCTGGCGTTAAAACTACGTTAATCCGCGAGGGAACGAGAAAAATTGCATGTGGTTAATTGGGAAAATGACATCGAAATAATGAAATAACGAAAGAATGAAGAATAGAACGAAGGAAGAAAATGCTAGAAATAAAAGTATATATTAAAAATGAAACGAGGACAAAAGAAATTATAAAAGAATCAGAAAAGCCTAGAATAGGAAAGTAAAAAACTAGAATAAAATTACTTTAATAGGAAGAACACGGGAAGGGAAAAATAAAGATAGGAGCGAGATAGCGATAGACTAAAAGTTGACAACATTCAGTATGTCAATTATTCCATCGATGGCAATAATTCATTTATATATGTTCTAAAAAGAATATTGATAAGCAGATTTCCCAATGTTCTTTGTTCTGTCAGAGTTGCTGATACCCCTGCGAGTTAATAGTGCAGGGGCAAGAGCAAGCGAGTTAAGGAAAGGGACAGTGAAGAGAGAAAAGAGAACACGACAGAGAAGAGAGAAAGAGGGCGAAAGCGAGAGAGCAACGAGAGAGAGAGAGAGAGAGAGAGGAGAAAGAGAGAGAAAGAGAAAGAGAGCGCGAGAGAAATAAAGAGTGAGAGAGCGCGCGAGAAAGAGACAGAGAGAGATTCATGCACGCACGCACACACACGCACACGCGCGCCACGCACCACGCACGCACGCACGCACGCACACACATACACACACAACACACACACAACACACACACACACACACACAGAGAGAGAGAGAGAGAGAGAGAGAGAGAGAGAGAGAGAGAGAAGGCAGACAGACGGGACGGACGAATGTCGGACAGAAGGACGGGCGGAAAAGCAGCAAACAGAGAATCGTAGTGCATGCAAGCTAATTCCAAGCCTTGCACCAATACGAACTAGCTCGGTCGCGCCTGATTATATACAACATACAACACCACACGAAAACTCGCAGCATGCTCAGCACTCATCTGCTTACTGTCTGTAGTGTGACCACGTCCCGTGTCAGATGTGGAATCTCGGAGAGCGAGAGATCTTCGATCGACTCGGCGATGCTACACGGGCCACTGAGAACGTGCTGACAGCTTGGTGTTGCACTTGTGCCGGCGATGTGTTGCCTATATTATGCGCGGTGCGCGGCCGCCGCCGCCGCCGCCGCCACCCGCGCGTTATTGATGGCTTCACGCGTGGGCGCCGCACTGCTGACGCGCATGCGTGCATAGCGTAGCCCCTCGCTGGCTTCCCATCGTATCGTATGCTGTGACAGTGTCGTAGCCTACGCGCTGCTAGTGCTCAAGTGGCTGTTTATATCTCTGTGGAAGAAATGCGGTTGCGTGCGCGCTGCGCGTGTGTGTTGTGTGTGTGTGCGCGTGAGTGTGTGTGTGTGTGTGTGTGTGTGTGTGTGTGTGTTGTGGCGTATTGCGTGCGTGCGTGCCGTGTGTGTGTGTGTGTGTGTGTGGCTGTGTGTGTGTTGTGTGTGTGTGTTGTGCGTGCGTGCGTTGCGTGCCGTGTGCGTGCGTGAGTTGTGGTGTGTGTATATGCGTTGCGTGCGTGGCGTGCGTGGCGCCGTGTGTGTTTTGCGGGTGTTGTGGTGTGTTGTGTGTGTTGTGTACGTTTGGTTTTATGTGCACGCGTGCGTCACTGAACGCTTGGAGTGTATATATATATGAAGAGTTGTGGCAGCCTGTTTGTGATTACGAATTTAACGTATTAGGGTATACGCAGTGTGTTTCTATTTTCATTTTTAGATGTTCTCCATGCCGTCTACGTTAAGTGCCGCCACTGGATTTGACTTAATGACATGACTAAATTGTAAACTCATTTCACCAAATACGAAATATTATTAAAAATAAAAATAAACAATAAAATGTCATGTAATCCCCCAATTTCACGTATCTCTTCCCCCTCTTCTCTTCTTCTTCTCTCTCTCTCTCTCTTCTCTCTCTCTCTCTCTCTCTCTCTTTCTCCTGTCTTCCTTGCTCCCTTTCTGTTGCGTGGGACTAGTGGCACTAGACTCACGCGTCTGTGTAATGTATTACTTACTGCGCTCCCTGTGCAAATATAAATGTCCGCTGACTCGCCGCTAGAATAATAAGAGCTTTCTGTAGAACTCGCTGTCTCCCTCGCTCAAATCGAACCGCGCTCTCTCTCTCTCTCTCTCTCTCTCTCTCTCTCTCTCTCTCTCGCGCGCGCCCTCTCTCTCTCTCTCTCTCTCCCTCTCTTTCTCTCTCTCTCTTCCTCTTGCTCGCTGTCCATTTCTCTATATCTCTCTATCTGTCTTTCGTCCCTCTGCCTCTCTATCTCTCTCTCGCGCTCTCTCCCTCCCTCTCTCGCTCTCTCTCTCTCTCCTCTCTCTCTGTCTGTATCTCTGTCTTTCCTGCTCTGGATACTTTTCTTTGTTGTCACCAATTCTGGTTTCTCACTCTCGCAGGTACGTAACAGAAATTGGTAAGCATTGTCAATGCTAAAGTATTGCAGCGCATAAATGTAGTTTTACCTTAGTGTTAACTCTTTTATAGAACGCATCATATACTAATACATTAGATTCTAACTAATACCCAGGTAGTACTTACATCCCATTTGGGAACGGTGCCTGTATTCACCTAATAAGCGGCCTAATAACTCATATTAATCAACGGCAGATGTGCCGATTTCACAGTGTATTATATGTTAAAACCCCGTTTTAAAAGTTTTAACTTTAGTAATTATTAATAAAAATGTAAAGCGAAAAATGAATGCAATATCATAATCTGATTGCCTTGCCTATAGTTTACTCTTTATATTAACTCTCACTTTGTTAACAGTAAATGATATCTATATCATTATATTTATTAATTAACGCCGATATTAGTTGTCCGAGAAGCAAACACACGGAAGCACTATTCGTGCGATGTGTTAATAATAATTGCAATACTCACGTGCGCCGTGTGCATGTGAAACGCGATATATACAAAGCCGGTCACGTTCATCGCCACTTGCCCCCTTTCCGATCTCCGTGTTCGAGAAAAACCTTATCGCCTTATATTCGCGCAAGAATTCCCTGAAGACTCTCATATGTATCACTTCAATTCACTCACACGCTCACGTTCGCGTCTGGGCAGGTCAGCGTACAAAATTGATTGACAAACAGCATAGAATAGAATCTGCCGCTTTCTCGTATAAGATTCCCGTGGGGTGAGATAAGATAAAATACCGATAGGAGGCAGCGCTATCGCACTGAGTCTAGAGTCCTTCTATATAGATAAAAATAGAGTCTCTACAGAGGGACTCTAGTTTTCTGGTACAGGAAAAATGTCTATAAAACTGCTATAAATGTCTCATATATGAATACAAAAAATTTTAAATTCTATATTTTATTGGAAGATGTTGCTGGGATGATTATATACTGTTTTATAATGGCTGGCATCTTACATAATTGCACCGCGTATCCATACAGCGCTGTACTTGAGCGGCAGCGGCGCGTGTCCATTTGAAAACAAAATGGCTTCTAATTGCGAGTTGTCGCAACTCTAACTGAATCTACCGAGAGATCCGTGCAATGCAATTATCAGCGGTGTATGCCTATCAATAACGGATATACGCTTTACTGCATCATATCTCACGAGAAAAACAAACAACAAACTCTCAATAGGCTTCTTCCGCGGTTGACTTCTGATGGCTCGTCTTCACACCACGCGGGGCACAGATCGACCAGTGAAGACACCAGCCATAGAAATATATATACAGACACTAGTCTAACTAGTATAATTATTTCCATCATACCAACCCACGCGCGGGTTTACGCGCAAGCAAGCTAGTCCGAAAATGCGATGACGATCGATCGATCTAGCTGCGAGTCACCAAGGGTTACGTTAGCACGATCGGCTGTAGTACACCGTAACAATTATACGCCGTACCATTGGGTAAACATGTTGCGGTGATGCTACGCCGTTAGCGTCGCGATGCCAACCGTGATTGACATTACATCAGACCATCGATACGCGCGCGGATGACCAGGCTAATCAACGTAAACCAATGGCTTCGCGATGAGCCCTGAAGGTCCCCCGAAATGATTTCCATCATCGGACATTTACGGAGTGAAAATGGGTTTTGCGCAAAAATGAGATTTCCCCCCCCCCAATTTGCGACCTGTGGAAGGACGACTACAGGGATGCGAACGTTCAAAGACGATTGCAGAGATCTTGGCGCGAAAAATTGTTGTTTCCTTCTTCGGAGATAACCGGACGTCATTAACCCGATGGCTCAGTGTGAAATTATCGCTAACCATTCAGACGCATAATCAAACTGTCGTGTCTCGTCATTCTTCCACGGACGACGAAGGTCTAACTCCCGTTAAAAAAAGCTGCGCCCAAACCGACTCCGTCACGATAAAAAGAACAATGAAAAACAAAAAAAATCGCGCTCGGTTTTTAATAGCACATCTGCAATATACCAGAAAAAAAACACCCGCTAACGGAAATGTTTACTTGTTTTCAGGCCACTCTCTCTCTCTGCAGGATCCATCCGCGGCTACGACTCCCTTCGCCGATTCAGTTTACGGCGTACTTTTCAGCGACGATGGTGACTTGGTTTGCGCGAGGAAGGGGCGTTGTGTGTCTCACGGATAGAGTCACGTACAGTTCATCTCTCACCAGTCCTAATCCCCCGTCAGCCGCGAGCTGCGACCAGAACTGCGGGAGTCAAATCGCGTCACACCCTCACACGCTAACGATGTTACGCTTCCCCCGCTAAATTAGTTGGTCAATATAAAAGCTCACGCTGCACGCGCAAGACAATCAGACGGGTATTGTTGTCATAGTGTAAGGGAGTAGGGTGGGTTTCTATCTACTGTGTGCAGTTGCAGCAATCGCGTGACCAGAAGCACGTGGAAACGCTGATCAATTGTCACTTACCGCTTCGTGTACTTTATCGCAGTTTCTGTCGTTACAGCCGTGCCATGTCCATGTGTTTTTTTGACGACTGCGGAATAGGGATCGCATGCGAGTTGGCGAGTTGCGACGCGCGAAAATGCTGTCAAAAATCGATGCAACTCTGACTATGGGCATGTCATCCCCGAACTCTTCTTCACCCATCGTGTTCTCACACGCACGCACGCATGCACACGCACGCGCAAACGCATGTACACACACACAAGACGGACGGACGGAATGTCGGACAGAAGGACGGGCGGAAAAGCACCAAACAGAGAATCGTAGTGCATGCAAGCTATTCCAGCCTGCACCAATACGAACTAGCTCGTCGCGCCTGTATTATATACAACATACAACACCACACGAAACTCGCAGCATGCTCAGCACTCATCTGCCTACCTGTCTGTAGTGTGACCACGTCCCGTGTCAGATGTGGAATCTCGGAGAGCGAGAGATCTTCGATCGACTCGGCGATGCTACACGGCCACTGAGAACGTGCTGACAGCTTGGTGTTGCACTTGTGCCGGCGATGTGTTGCCTATATATGCGCGAGGCGCGCCGCCGCCGCCGCCGCCGCCACCCGCGCGTTATTGATGGCTTCACGCGTGGGCGCCGCACTGCTGACGCGCATGCGTGCATAGCGTAGCCCCTCGCTGGCTTCCCATCGTATCGTATGCTGTGACAGTGTCGTAGCCTACGCGCTGCTAGTGCTCAAGTGCTGTTTATATCTCTGTGGAAGAAATGCGTGCGTGCGCGCGCGCGTGTGTGTGTGTGTGTGCGCCGTGAGTGTGTGTGTGTGTGTGTGTGTGTGTGTGTGTGTGTGTGTGTGCGGGTATGTGCGTGCGTGCGTGCAGTGTGTGTGTGTGTGTGTGTGTGTGTGTGTGTGTGTGCGCGCGCGCGTGTGTGTGTGTGTGTGTGTGTTTAATTGCTAGTGCCGCGGTGATTATCAGAGAAGGCATAGTGAGAGGAAGGGAGAGAGGAGGAGGCTAGCTAGATAACGATAGCAAGCGGTAGGGTGAGCGAGAAAAAGAGTGTGTAAAGATAATAGTTTGTCCCCTATATTTTGTATGCGTGCGAGGAGACAATGCTTCCGAGGTTTAGATGCTAGCCAAAGTACTTCCCCACAGGCTTAAAAATTTCCAACAA